GCCACCGTGACTGATGCGTCCTCATGCACGGGAGGGAGTGCACGGTGTGAGGCACCGAGGGCAGATGCGCCAGCTCTGGGCCCTGAAGGGAGGGTAAGCCTGTGCGGAGGGAGCAGTCGGGGAGAAGAGCTTCCTGGACTTGCGTCCCCTCTGCGCTTATAAGACGGACGTCACGCCGGGGCTGTCCGGGCGCACCGGGCTGTGGCCCCACCTGTGTGGCACCCAGAAAGGAAGGAGGCATGAGGACACGGGTCGTGAAACATCCTGAGGTCCTTAGCTGACTTTTTCAGGCAATTCTTCCAAGTTCCAGAAGATTCGAAGGCAAACTTTTTCAGGTGCCCATTATGGATACACAATTTTTATCTACAATTCAAATAACGTATGAAAGTTTCCGGATTATGAGCTGTCATTCAACAAACATTGACCGTGCGCCCTAAAACACACCGAGTGGGCGACACGTGGGCCCTGCTCTCAAAGCAGTTTGCACAGAGGGAGGGGACCCTGATGCCCACCCACCACAGTCGCCGGAGCAGGACGTGATTAATGTCATGGAGACGAGGGTTCTAAGCAGCAGGTGACTGATGGCGGTGGGATCTGGGAGAGGAAGCTCAGGTGGCGACAGGCACATCCCAGTCAGACACTCAGGGAGGAGGTGGCATCTGTGCTGACCCTGAGGTCAGGATGGGTTCGTTCCAGGAGGACCCGTGTGGAATGAAAGGTGGTGATTGGAGGGAGGGCAGGTTCCAAAGGGGAACTAGTCTGATTGGGATAAAGAGCAGTCAGTTAGTAAACTGAAGTTCGGACAAAGGACAGTGCTCGTCCAAGCACCATGGTGGGTTTTGCAATGGGTGGTATTTTGAGCAGGAACTGCTGATCTGGTCGCCCGTGAAGGAACTGGGGCGGTAACGTGAAGGTGCAGTGAGGAGGCAGGGCAGCGAGGCAAGGCCAGGCTCCGCCGGTTTCAGACAGCGATGCGATGCCAGCACCGCCACGCCAGCACCGCCCGCCTGCCTGCCGGGGGCCTGGGGCTGGTGGTTGAACTTCTCTAGGTCTTGGGTTCCCCGTAGGTAACAGGCGAGCCTCATCTCAGCATCTTCTCAACTTCTCAACAGGACAATCCTATAACATTGACCACATCCAAAGCTTAAGCGATGGCCATCCACACTGGAAAAAAAAAAAACAGAGCCGGCCACACGTGCTGAGAAGGGGGGAGTTTGTCCAGCCTTACGGTTGGCTCTGGGTGGCGGGCTTATTGTGGCCTTTGTTTTCATTCAGCGTATCTCCTTACCTTTTCTTTCCTACATGTGCTACGTGTGGACTAGGAAGTCACCGCTTTAACAAACTAAGGCCTCGGTCCATCGCCACCACACCCCTCACACATACACAGACATGGAAGCGGAGGGTATCCGAGGTCGGGTTTTAAAACAGCTCCTGCTAACTGTCCACCTGGGGGGGGACGCCATCAGTGCTGTAATCACGTGTGACCATCCCTGAGGAGAGGCGCTGCCCCTGTGTCACTCGCACCTCTCACACCCGGAAGGAGGGGACCTGCCTCACAGGGTTAAGTCACTGTGGCAGTTTTTGTTTTTGTTTAAAACACCTCCCTACCAAGGTCTAGCTTCTCCACAGACAACATAAAAACATACTGTGGAGTCACAGATGAAAAGCATCTTATCCACAGACATCAAAGTCTCCTAAGACGTGGTAGGTAAATTACATCAGCTCAATGTCATGAACGATGCTTCGTAAAAATATTAATAGAAAAACATGGCACAGAGGAAGATGGAGACGACCAGAATAGGGCAGACAGACCGCTGGGGCAGTGCATGCTGGGAGAATGAAAAATGCAGCTCAGTTTTAATATGAGCACGTGTTATAACTTTAGTTGACTTAATTCTTCGTTAAAAAAAAAATAACGTTTGTATCTCTTCTTTCCTCCCTCCTGACCCCCCAGCTCGCATTTTAGTCTCAGCTTATGGTTCTTGGCCATAAATTGAGAAATTCAAGCAGACTTGCAGCATGATCTCACTTTCTGTAGTTAAGATAAATGTGAGAATTTAAGCAGCTGTAGTTTACAGGAATTAAGATAGTATCCAGCGCCTCTCTTGTAGACAATATTCGAGATTGGATTAAACCTGCGAAGGGTCATCATTTTATAGTAGGACCCATCATGTGTCGTTGAAAGACGCTCATTCGCTCGTGATAGATTTTGTGAAGAGTGTTTTCCAGAGAAAAGGGAGGACCCAAAACCTTTTTCCAGGAGCCATTTTCTACCTGTTGATGGGATGTGCCTTAGCCAGTCTTGAGAAAATCAAGTACAAACGCTGACACCACACATCGGCCAGAAACGTGCCTGCCACCCAGGCACACGCCATATTTTAGGCTAGATGAGCTGGTTGACATTTTCAGAAAACTTAATAGTGTATCATGCGAAGTGGGGCCCTTAGTGGGATGGCTGTGGTGCGGAAACGTGTTTGATATTCCACAGTGACCATCTTGAAAGAGAAAAGTTGTTTCCTTAATTGAGCCCCTTAAACTGCCACGGGAACCCTGGGGGCCTGTGGGTGGGGTGGCAGCATCTGGGACTGGCAGGCGAGGGGGGCGAGTCCACATCCTCAGGCTTAGAGCAGCGACGAGGGGATGCTGAGGTCCGAGGCAACGTCATGGAGATGTGTTCACTGCATGACCCCACACGCTCTCATCTGCACGAAAGCCCATGTGATGAATCCTGAGCAGCTGGAGCAGGAGCTAGGGACGTGTGACAGTGGCTGCCTGGGTCCCAGCTTTGGCCCCACCCTTCCCCCTGCAGGGGCCTCAGCCGAGGGCCATTCCTGCTCTCCCGAGCCCACTGGGCACCGACCTGCCCGCGCTGGTTCAGCACACACATCACACGCGGGTCAGACCAACACGGAGAAAGTGCTGTTTGCTGAGTGAAAAGTACAAAGCAAGTCAGCTCCAGCCTAACTGTGGACAAGAGCTGTGGGCGCCCAGCAAGGCTGTGATTCGAGTGTCCTTGTCCCATGCCTCTCTCCCTTCCTCCCCCTTTGTCCACCTGTTCCGACGGTGCCATGGGCAGGGAAGTGGCCCAGAGCCTTGGTGGGGAGGAGTGACCTAAGCTGGGTGACAATCAGAGTGAGTGGACGAGGGGTCAGGGTGGACACGCAGAGGGGTGTCAACCCTTCACTAGACTTGGAGTGTCTGACCACTGAGACCAGTGCATGTGTCTGCTATTTTATTTGTGGATACACTTGAAAACCTGGGTCCACCTGTGACGCATTGAAAAGCCACAAACAAAATGTTGCAGGATGCGGCCGTGACTCACAACATCAATACGACAGCCCGGTTTGGTCCTTGCGATGCTTTTCCTAAAATCAGGGTCGTTTCTCGAGTGAACAGGTTGATATGAGCACGTGGACGGAGCTGGCTTTGTGGGGGGACTGTTCCCAGGCCCTTTGTTCCTTGTCCACGTCTCATAATCACTGTGACACGTGGGTGCCCGAAAAATAAGATCGGAGCAGAGCAGCGAGGGTCAGAGTAGGTGGTCCTGTGGTTTTGCTTCTGTTTCTGTGAACACTGTGAGCTGCTTACCACCTGGCACGCCTCAGAGCAGCCCCGTATCTGAGCGCATCACACCCAGCGGGTTCAGAGAAGCCAGTTGTCAACAAGATGACTTCTGTGCAAACAGAAATGGGAGCGAGGGCCAGGGGGCCAGGGGATCGGCGTGCACTCCCGGCTCTGGAACTGTTGGTGACCTGATCCCCAAGCATCGACCTGTCTGTGGGGTTACACATCTAGACATGTTAGGGGTGGGGCTGGGTGCCTTCCCACCTTCGTTGTGCAATGTTAGCATGCGTACCCCAGGAAACCACATCTCTGGATTGAATATCAGCCTTTCTGTCTGGCAGGCCGGCACGCCTTCCCTGCCGTTGGGGGGCACCCCGCAGGACCCCAGCTGAGCGCCACCTGGTCTGGAGGCGTTTGTGAGGGTGCAGCTTCCATTCCCATCTGGGGGGGCTTCTGAATTCTCCACTGTGACATGGTGTTGACTGGATACGTAACATAGCTTCAAACAGTGTGTTGTATAGTTTTCAGTGGAATAATTTCAAGGAATTATTGCAACATAGTATCTGTTAGTATCTATTGGTTCTCTGAGAAAAACAAAATGTCTTTCAATACAAAATATGACTTACCGATGACTTACCAAGTGGCTTTCCCAGATTGAGGTTTATTAATAGTTTTTCTTCAGCCCTCCCACAGCTTCTGTCCTTCCCGTGTGATACTGTTTTATGAAAGTGTGTTCGTTCCTTCTTTGACACAGAGAGCAGGGCTCCAGGCCCCAGAGGCGCAGCCTTCAGACCTCGCCCCAAGCCTCCCTGACGCCCCGCCAGGCACTGGCACTCGCGGCCCCACGCACTTTGTACCCGCTGCCCCCTTGCTCTGGCCAGACACACCTGCACCGCGCCTGTCCCTCTCCCGACCATCGGAACCTCTTACCCTTCAAAGCCCATGCAGTGAGCTCCCTAAAGGCTCCCATCCAAGTTCACTCCTGGCCGGGCACGTTTTCCAACCGGTTTTTGTCGGTCCATCAAATCTGGTGTGCCGCGTGCATGTCCTTGGCCCCCGGTCATTCCGTACCAGCCGAGGAGGTGACGCCATGGTCTGAGTGTCCGCACCGCCCATCTCCACCCGTAGTGAGCACTCCACAGGCACCTCTGCCCCGGCGAACAGACGCCTTGCACGGCCCTTGCTGCGCCTCGTGCGGCTGGCCGGCCTGTGCTCCGACCGGGCTGCTGCGAACCAGCTCCCTGACTCATAAGCGCAGGTGCAATGCATCCCGTGCCGGCCACGCCCACACAAGCCACGCCCATGCCTGCAGATGCCACGCCATGCTAAGCCACGCCCCGCAGAGCCACGCCCATAATAAACCTCGCCCCACGCGCCACGCCCCCGCAGGGCCACGCCCCTCCGGCCGCACCCCCTGACTCTCCTTCCCTTTGCAGGCCTACATGGAGGACCACCTGAAGAACAAGAACCGGCTGGAGAAGGAGTGGGAGGCGCTGTGTGCCTACCAGGCCGAGCCCAACAGCTCGCTCGTGGCCCAGAGGGAGGAGAACGCGCCCAAGAACCGCTGCCCGGCCGTGCTCACCTGTGCGTACCAGCCCCGCGCGGGGAGGTGGCGGGCGGGCTGCGCCCTGTGGTCCGGCGCCCTGTGGGCGGCCGTCCCCCCGGTGGGGGCCCCTTCCCCCGCCTGCCCAGCGCCCTGTCGGCTCGCTGTCCTCTCCCGTCCAAGCCGGGCGTGGACGCCACCTGTGAGGCCGGCCCTGGCCCCAAACTGCAGAATCCGTGTCTCCCTTGGGGTCCAGGGGCTGGAGCCACAGCCAGGATCGTAGACCCCGAGCACGTGCTCTGTCTGCTGTCACGTGTGATTTGCGACTCGCTTCTTAACGTCTTTGAGCCCCTTCTCCTGTAATTGGGGTGATACCGCTACCCTTAAATGGTACAGCCGTGAGGATGTGAGGGGACAGGCGTGGGATCGGCACCTTGCAGGCCTGAGGCGGGCAGCGGTCGCTGTGCCGCAAAGTGTCAGCCTTGCGGTGGTTTCGGCCAGCGTTGCTGGGGACCATCTCTCCGGCCAGAAACCACTGCCAGAAAATGGAGCTACAAAAAGGTACAGGTTCCGGAAAGCGATGTGCTTTGAGGGGACGGCCCAGGCTTGCACTGTGTGTTGTGTATGATGTGCTGCGTGACCTGCAGACGCAGAGGCCCACACAGGACGTGAAGGGCCAGGCTGGCTGGGTCCGACCCACCGGCCCACCTGCTGCCCCCTTTCTCAGGTCACGTAACTAATGGCGCACCAACCTCCTGGTTCTAGCATGCTCTGGGCCAGGCCTGGGCTTGGATTTGTGCGTAAACTTGCCCTGCAGGGAGGGAAGGAGCCCTAGGTGTGTGTGACCCAGGTGTGACGTAAGCGGACACTGGCCGTGACGTTGTGTGGACTTAGTCACTGCCTCAGTAGCCTCATCCGTACATACTTCAGATACAATAAAATGCACTCTGTTGGCTCACGCTTTCGAGGGCACAGCAAAGCTGCGCTCCGTGTCAGCATGTGCGCTCAGCAGCCATGCAGGGACCACTCCCCGTGTCACAGGCCCCTGTCTCGGCCTTTGGAGCCAGCCATGGGAACCACAGGTCACGAGTGCCCCCCAAAGCCAGGACCGGACTCATCCCGACAGCCCCGCTGTCCACTTAGCCTGGAGAGGCAGCTCTTCGCCCGTACAGCAAACGGCAGCGGTGTGATCAGCGTTCACGGGTCAAACAGATTAAAAGCCAGGATCTTGTGTTGCTTTAGACACTGACCTGGGTGTGTTTTTCTAACAGGGCAGTGAGCGTTCAGACCAGGCTCTTCATTTCCATGAGGTCTGAAGGGTTTTCCCCTAAAGAATTCTACAAATAGCTCCTGCTGCAATTTATAAGTTTTATAGTCAGAAGAGCGAAAAAAAAATGTCTAATTGACCAACTAACAGTTGTTCGTTAAGCACCTACTGTGTGCCAGGGCCTACTGCACCAAGCATGGCCACTCAAAGAGGATGTAGATGGGGAAGGGGCAGTGGTGAGCGGAGGCTGCGTGGGGCACACAGACAGTAAGCTCGCGGTGAGTGTGTCCCGCCGGTCTGGTCCTACTTGGGTTATCAGGCCTCCTGTGGTAAATATTAAAATTCAGAGCCTTTCCTCGAGCACCGCTCCACCGTGGAAACCAGAGCAAGCAGACACATGGTGTCCCTCCCCGTGCCCTCAGCAGTGCTGGCCACTGGGCTCTGTCTGCGGCTCATCGGTGGGTCCACAGGCCAGGACCTCAGTGACTGTAGAGTGTCCTGTCCTCAGCCATCACAAGAGGCTCCACCGCACAGGGACCAGGGCCCAGCTGCCCTGACGTCGCCGTTGAGCCAGAGCCTCAGGCCTCCCTCCTGGGGCCACAGGCAGGGCTGAGAGAGGACATCCTGTGTTCCCTGGACTCAGGTGCCAGGAGTTAGGAAGACCCGCCTGTCCGTGACCCAATGCCTCCACCTTTACCCTCTGGGCTCTGGGGCCGGCGCCTGCCCGCTCCCTGGTCCCTGCAGCCTCCTCCGCCTCTTGTCACGTTTGGTGTCGGAAGCGCCCCTCTGCCTGCCACCCTGGGCTCTTCAGAAAAGGCTGGGGGACGCCTGAGTGGCAGGTGGCCTCGGGAATTCAAAGGTGGCTGGGCCAGCGACTCTATCCCCTGACATCCCGGAGAGTCTAGCTCCGTGCGAGTTCCCTCTCAAAGGAGGAGACAGCTGGCAGTTATGAGATGGTGACGGGTCCTGTGCTGGGTGTGGTGAAATTACCTCAGAAGCTTAAAGACTTCATTGTGCTTTTTAAGTTTTTTGCATTTTTAAAAAGAAGTATGCAGTATTCCACTCATCTGCTTTTTAGCTTAAGAACAGTCATATGCTATTTGTGCATACCATATTAACAAACAAAAAAAAACATTTTAATTCTGCGTTATAACAAGAGAGAAACAGATACAGTAACAGTGACGGATGGAAGCAGAGATGAAACCAGAAAGAATGAGAAGCTGAAGACCCAGATTCGCAAACACCGACAAGGACACTTCTGTAGTGCTTTCCTCGCTGGGTTTTTTAGGGCGTTGTCGCTGGACACGTTCCAGCTCAGTGTCAGCCAAGGCAGCTGTCGGCGTCCCTGCCCTGCCAGGTGAGGGTGACAGCTGACTGGGCCAACTGCTCCGAAGGCAGGTCACCTGGGTGGCACCAGGCTGCGTGTGAACCAAACAGCCACCACACAGTATCACCACCGAGTGCCACCACCACCTCCCCCAAGGCCTGTCACCTCTGCCTCATGGGATCACCCTCCATGTGACGGACAAGGACGCTGGGAGATAAACCCGTGCCTCTGCTGATGGTGCTGCCTCCACCGGCCTCTGCGGGCGCCGGAGATGATTTTGTGTTGGAAAATGTACATAAATTTCAAACTCCCACAGGTGACTATTTGAAACACACACAAGGATGGCAGCCCCTGGCTGAGCATAGCTCTGCTTAAACGTGGAACAGAATACCTTTGGCTTAAAGTTTTTCCAAACTCTAAGAATCCCTATAGAGGAACTTTCCGGTTTAGTTGCCTCTGAGTGACCAGGACTTACAGCGATTTTCCTGAAGGGAACTGTCCACAAAAGTCCTCCTGAGTCTAATTCGTGAGGGCTTTCTCTTCCCATCGTCTGAAGCCCTTTGCAAAGAAGAAATGTCACTGGCTTGGCACAGTTGCCCCACACTTTTTATTAGACGTTTAACAACAGTGAGGCTGAAACGATTTGATGGTCACCTACACACCCACCCCTGGACCCAACAACTGCCACTTGGTACTTCGGGCATTGCGACATCTAAATACTTTAGCCCGTGTCTCCTCAAAATAAGGACATTCTCTTACATAACTACGACCCCGTTGCTATAAGTAAGAAAATTAACAGGAATCTCTAATACAATATTCTCTAATTTCAGCCCATCTTCAGATGTCCCCAAGTATTCCAGGTAAACCCCTCACAAGTTTTTATTTGTTTTTTAACCAGGATGCAACCACAGTTCATCACTGCATTGTGGATTTTACATCTCATTAGCCTTTTTAATTTTACTCTCTGAAGTGACTCGTCCCTAATGAAGGTAGCCTTCTCACCCTGACCATGATTCCTGCCCTGAACTTTCACAAACCCGCCAGGCAGGAGTCTGGCCATTCTGGGCACGCGCACAGGTTCCCAGGCCCACTGTGGCCGGTCCCCACGTCCCCACAACGCTGCAGAGACTGTGACCAGCCTGCCTCGGTGGCCTCGCCTAGAAGACTTGTAACACCGTGTCCTCCCACCGTCCATCAATCCCTATGTCTTCTGTGTCCTTAGAAACACCAAAGTGAACCGTGGTCCCTGTTACCTGTTAAAGTGGTCCTGTCTACACCACACAGGGGCAGACACGGTGAGAGCTTTTGGGTTAAACAAACACAGCTGCAGAGGCTCTTCTGCTACCCCGGCATTTGCACCTCCAACGCCTCTGGCTATCGGCCTTTCTGGTGCTTTTCTTATGAGCGAGGCCACAGAACAAGGCTTCCCAAAGTCGCCCAGTGGGTCGTGATCTTCCATCAACTACGATGCTGGCCTCGCCGCTGGTTTTTCTAAAGTGGAGCAGAAGGGTGACATCCACACAGCTACGTGGGCTGCAGGCTGCAGGCACCTGAGGCACAGAGAGCCCGAGTCTGATAGTGGCGCTGGTCGTTCTGCTGGGGGTGGTGGCAGAGTGACAGCCCTCGACGTGCCCACATCCCAGCCCTTGGAATCCGTGACGGTCACCTTACATGACAAGGGGACTAAGGTTGCAGGTGAAACCCAGCTTTGCACTTCATCTGCCCTTAAATTAGGGAGACTACCCTAGATTGCCTCCAGAGTGGCACGTGGAAGAGGGAGGCAGCAGAGCAGGTCAGGGTGACGCAACGTGAGGACGGGCTCCCCGCTGGCTGTGGAGGAAGGGCCATCAGCCAAGGGAAGCGGGCGGCACCTAGAAGCTGCGGAAAGTCCAGAGAACCGGTTCTCCCCGGCGCCTCCGGGAGGAGCCAGCTGCCGACACCGGGATTGACTCAGTTCCGACTCCTCAGCTGCAGAACTGTACGATGGTTTCAAGCCACCAGGTTTGTGGAAACCGTTACACTGAGGAAGAGGACACAGGCTGGAAGGATGGAGCCAAGCAGGTCATGGCTGCGTCCACCCAGGACTCGCTCCCACACCGTCATCTGCCGTAACTGTCGGAACGTATCGTGCAAGTTCTCATTTCTGTGAGAACAGCTGCCCGTCCTGTGTCGGAGGTGATGGCGCTGTGATGGATGCGGTCCGGCCAGCTGCCCCTGAGCCCAGAAGCTGCCTCTCAGTGACATGGGGCCATTGCCGACAGAGGCCTCAGGCCTGAGAGCATAACTGACCTGTGGCTCTACGTCTGCGTCCGGTGGCGGGAGGGGCTGTCACAGGAGCAGTGTGGGTGTGAGGGCCTTAGGGAGCTCCCGGGCACGTCCCTTAGGACGAGGACGGCGGCCTCCATTCCTCAGCCGGTGGCTCCCCATCTGCCCTGTCCTGATGCAGA